GCGCCGGAGGGGGCTGAGGAGGGAGCGGAGGGGAGGGGACGGGGGAAGGGCGAGGTTGTGGGGCGAGGCGGCGTGTGCCGGTCCTGTCCCTACGCTGCGTCGTAGTTCAGTGGAAAAGGGAAGGGATGAGAAAAGGGAACTGATTTAAAATAGCGTCTCATCCCTGCCGGGGGCTGGTTCCCTCTCTGTGGGCTGCCTGTGCCTTTTTTTTTTTGGGGGGGGGGGCATTCTCTTGTGTGCAGAAGCAGCCTGGGGGGCTTAGCTGGGAGTGGGGGTCTCTCCCCTCTTCTTTACCTTTCCTCATTGGTTTTTATTTTTTTTGGGGGGGAAAAGGGGGGAGGAAGGAGCAGGATGAGCTTGCGGAGTTGTACTGGATTTTCTCTTTCCTTTCTGAGGAGCTACCGCTGCTGAAGCAGATTTTTCCTTCCTCTCTCTCTCTTTTTTTTTTTTTTTTTTTTTTTTTTTTGTCTGATGCAGAATCCCAGTAGCTAGGCAGCCTCCCTCTTTTCTTTCCTTCCTTCCTTCTACCCCTTCGGTATGTAGGAAGGGAGAGACATCAATGGAAAGGCTGAAACATGCGTAGATGGACTTTCAAATGCATTTTTTCTTGAAAAAGGAAGATAAATCCCAGTTGCCAGTGCACTGACTTTTTTGTCGCTGTTGTATTGCTTGGTGAAAATGGGGTTCGCTTACTCCAGCTAAATCCTTGGAGCATTTCAGAGAGTTGCTACAGTGAAGGACTTATGGTATTTTTTGCATCAGAGGAGCTACATTGATCTTAACCATTTTTTTGTAAAATGGAGAATGAAATATTCACACCCCTTTTGGAGCAGTTCATGTCTAGCCCTCTTGTCACCTGGGTAAGCATTCATTTTTCCTCACACGTTATTCATTTATTTGCTCATTGTTTGAAGAGGAATGCCTTGCGGCAGAGAATGAGGTGGAGTTAGTGTCACGGTGGTGATGATTATGTTTTAGGTAAAGACATTTGGACCGTTAGCTGGAGGAAATGGGACCAACCTGGAAGAATATGTGGCGCTGGTGGATGGCGTGTTTCTCAACGAAGTCATGCTGCAAATGTAAGTGTGTGCAAGTTGTGCCTTGGGTTTATTTTTTTGCTCTTGTCTTGTTTTTCTTGTATGTTTTGCTTTCTTATGAAAGCTCTTTTTTTCCCTCCATATTCACTGTGGTAAACTTCTTTCTTTTATACTTGAAGTAGTCATGTAGTCAGTTAAGAGGAGACTTCGGAGCGTAGCGGATACTCCTTAACGGTTTAATGTTGGTGTGATGTATTTGCAGGATGTATAGTGTAATACAGGCTGAATCATGATATATAGAACTTACTGGAAAATTGGATGACTGTAGCTAGCTTCCCAGATTTCCACTGAGAAGCATAAAGGTTCATTTCATTCTACTGTAAGTCATGCTTATAAACAAAATTTTGAATAGATTTGCCAATACGGGAATAAGATTCCAGTACACATCCTGGTTCACATGACATACAACTTAAGGATCGTATGCCAGTCACATAATGTTGTTTACTGAGCAAATGGACCATTCTATAACTCCTTCTGCTTTATTTTTTTACAATTCCAAATTAGAGTAGATAGCAGCTCTGCAGTAAAGCTGAAATTTTAATTGAGAGTATGGAATATTTTCTGGCTATGAACCACCAAAAAACCCCCATTTTTGCATGGTTTTATAAATTGTTGAAATCTCTGATTGTTAGAAAAATTTCTTTATAGTGACTTCTGTTCATTGCAGTTTTGACTGCAATGTTGCCTACTGCTGTAATGCTAGAGACTAACACTTTTGTCAAGTGCCTAGTGATAGAAGCATAAAAATCTTACTAGTGGAAAAAATTTCTCCATACCTTTCCCCCTCCCTGCCCCCAATATTTTAAGTCTTTACAGGGAAATACGTCTTTTGTTTGTATAGGTATGAAAAAATGTAGGCTAATGGATGGCCAGATAGATACATCAGTGCGTGAGCAGCTTGGGAAGACAGCTGTTCCTCAGGAACACTGCTCAGCGATGGGCATCCTTTTACTCTGTTTATAGTTTTTACTCTTATTTAGTACTTTAAAAGTTTTTACTGTTGGTATTCAGCTTGTGTAACTAACCTATGGAAGAAGTTCTACACGTTACCACATTTGAGTTTGAATTCACATCCTTTTGAAACTGGTATTTTCTTTGTCACCTACTTCTGTGAATTCCAAGTATTTACTTCTGTAATATTGAGGAACATGGAAAACTGTGTGGAAATGAACTTCTTGAAAAAAATCTTGCATGTATTTCTGGCATACTTTAATAAGAATTTTAAGTGATGCATTCACTGGAGCATACCATTTTTATTTTACTTTCTTTTTTTCCTTGGACTACATACAAATGAAGTAACTTGTCAATTATGACCATGCATTTGACATGTAGACCTTCTGTTTGTTAAAAGTGTTTGACAGCTGGAATTTAGTACTGGAACTGGAGCAAGGCAATTTTGAAGAATATAATCTTGAAATTAAACTTTCTCGGCGAGTTTTTGGAATACTAACAGTATAAATTGCTATCTGATACATTATGTGGGAGATGTTTATGTGAAATGAAGGCTGCAGAGAGGGAACATTCTCATGCTTAAGGCATTGTGCATTGAATTTGGCTTTGTATGTGCATCTTTCACCCCGTACCGTGATTACTGTGGTTCACTTAGGAGGAGTTGTGTGTGTGGATATAAAAAATACACATGGGAGATGTAAATTTAAAATAAAATCATTTGGTAGTCAGAACAATTAAAAACTGCCCTAAACTAGAGGTGTGTGTAAAAGGACTGGTGTATAAATAAAATTAATGTTACAAGTATGTAACTCCACTGGAAGGTATATTTTATTTAAAATACATTTCTGGGGGACTGAAATATATTCCAATTGACTACTGCTTAGAATTGAAGTTTCCACAACTGTATTCTTATTTTGGAGGGATTTTATTTGTTTTGGGTTGTTTGCCAGGATTGAAAGAGGAAAAAATGTTTCACGTTTTGCAGACAGACTCTGTCTCTGGTGAAGTCACTGTGGAAACCTGTGTTAACTTCTAGTCCTGTTCACTTTGACTATCCACCTATTAAACATGTACCTTCATCTGCAAAAATATTTAAAAGATGCAGCTCCAGCTAATAATTGATATTACTTATTTTCAGTATTTTCCATTTTATTAGTATTTCTCTTTTTTCCTTTCAGTCCTAACTAACATATGTTGCGGAAATGTGGCAGAAAAATTTGTATCACGTGACTTCAAAAGCAAAATATTTTTCTTTGGAATGTTTCGGTTTGGTTTTTGTTGGGGATTTTTTTGGTTTTTTGTTTTTTTTTTTTAAAGCTCTCAATGACTGACTTCACATGAGAACTAGAGATCTGTGGCTAGGAGCTATGGCACTCTTAGAAGCTACAGAGAAATGTTGTTCTTGCAGAAGTCACCAGGAGTGCCGTTGGTAGAAATACATGGAAAGCAGTAGTAGAGGTTGGTTTTTTTACATAAGTTGTGTTATATAGTTCTTACTATTTACACTAAGCTTGAGATATTTAAGGCTGTTTATGTTTTGGTGTGAGAATACAGCTAGTGCATATCTGTCAGCTGAGGACTCTGATGTGGTGATGGTGTAGGTTGGTTCCTGTGGTTGGAAAGTCATTGCAGCATTAGATGCTTTAAAGGGCATTAAAAGCACAAACAAGCAGAGGCTGTTGGAGGTGCTGTGGTCCTGCTTTATATATACTTTAATGCTTACTTTGTTTTTGCCAAATGTTGAAAAAACAAATGCTGAGGCCAGAAAAGGGAGTGTTAATATTGCATTAGGCATAGTTTTAAACAGTTACACAATAAAAAAAAAAGTGGCTTTGTTACTTAAAGAAGGTTTTTTGTTCAGTTAAAAAAAGAGTTAATCCTGCCTTCCTGCCAGCTACAAGTGAGAGTTTGTTAGTATGGCATTTGTTTCTCCTTGTGCTTGTCTAGACCAAATTTCTTTTCAACAATTGCAGTGATTCAGCCAGAGGAAATAGATGTCGGCATGGAATGGTTGCAGGATAATGGTACCGAGATGGTTGGGTTTTATCAGCATTGAGTTAATTAGAACCTCATACACGAGAGAGAATAATTCATTACATTCCCTGTATGTCTTTTGCTTTTGACTTTTTGGATGGTTTAGTACATGTGAAAATTACACAGATTCCATTTAGTGTCCAACTACATCTGAAGAGCTCTTCCTTTTCTGGAGATGCTACAGGCCAATTTTTGGGGGTTTTCTAAATTTTATTTTAATTAAGGAGGATTCCAGTGTTGTTATATTCTCTCAAGTTAGGAGCTAATGTCTCTCATTTCCTGTTTAAATTTAGGTCCAGTTCTTCAAAAGTATTCGGTTACCTACCTTCTGCTGGGATCAGTCAGTATCTGATACCTCTGGATAGAAACCCATCTGTCTTTCTAAATCTGAGCCTTTATCTTTGTGTTCTTTGATACAAAAAGAGGTCATGCTGCTTGGAAATAAATCAGAACCCAAGAGATCACTGCAGTGGTGTTCTGCCATGGCAGGGAGGTGGAGGAACATTCCAAAAATACTTAATATCTTCACTATACCTTTACATCATAATACTTCTAACGTTCTGAAGTGCTCATATACTTGAGTAAAATATGTTGTGTATACTACTAAAATAAATGAAACTGTATAATTCAGTGGGTTAATTACCTGTTGCGCATCTAGTACGATTACAGTAAAATAAAACTTGGTTGTCCTAGAGATATTTTTCCAGAAACTAACACCACTTTTTTTTTCTTTTGTCTTAGTATTGTACTGTTTCTATACCCTTCTGATCCAAAAAGATTGAGGTATTATTACAGAAGCACTATTTTTCTGAGTGTTGTTTATTTTCATTTCTGATAGGTCTTGTTCTCTGATATTTGTTAATTGAATTCCAGTAGGATTGTGGAAGAAATGCTGAAAGTCTTGTAGTACGAACTGCGGTTCCCAAACTGACAAGAGTCTTGCTAGTTCCTTTGAATAAAAATAGACAGCTGCAAGTAATTACACGATTGGGACTTTCATTACATTTAGCACCATCATTAATATTTGGTCAAGTAACAAAGACTTGAAACTGTATTTTAATTTTAATGGTTTTATTTGACTGTGCTTTGTATTTGTGGAAGTGGATCTGTTTTAAAGGAACTATTGGAAAATACTTTATGTAGAATCAGTAATGTATAGAACCAAACTCTGAAACTGAGTTAATTTAATCCACTGTCGGGAGAACCTGTCCGCTTTCATCACAGTGTTCCATTCATAACTTTTGTCTTAATTGAATACATTCATCAATACTATTCATATCAGTTGTTGCGTCCAGACATGCTGAAAACTACTTCAAAGGATGAATTATTTTATTGTTCTCCTGTTTTTCTCCCTTTTGGCCTTCTCCCACTGTTTTTCACTGACTGGATCCACATGCAGGCCTTTCACGCCCATAGAATTTTCCAGGTGGACTGGCTGACTGTTTCCTTCCACCACTCTGGTGGTGTGTGCCTAGAATGTGTAGACTGCTTCGCTGACTCCTTTTTCTGAGCTCTTAGTCTTTAGTTGTATGCTTTTTTCCAAACAGTCGAGCTTGCCAGCCCATACTTCTGGCTTGCCTATATCTTTCCCTGAAAACTGGACTCCATCTCTAGTGCTTGAGCCAGCTGCCTGGCTCTGTGAAAGAGTGCAGGAACATGAACGCTGATCCAATTAACTCTTTCTTGTGAAGAAGACCAAGTAACAAGAGGCAGCTTAAGCCAGGTTCTGGCTGGGCGGGGAAATGGAAAGAAGTCTTGGGGAAAATTAAATTGGTGAGTTTGGCAGTAAAAATATGAGTACGTGTTTGAGAAAAAAGTCAAATACTATGAAGTCTGTACCTTTCCCACTTTCTCAAAGTAAATGGATTCGATCCCCACTTTTCAGATGTGCTCTGTCGGGCTTCCATGGATACAAGGTAGATGTCACCCTAGTAGTTTGTGAGACTTGTTGCTCTTAGGAGCGGTTCTGCAGCAGTCTGGCCCAGATTTTTTGTAAG